TTAAGAATGAGCAGCCATGAAGCAAGAGGAAAACAATGGTGAGAGAGAAGGCAAGAGAATTGATAATAAATTGAAAGAAAATATAACAGTGGTCCATGGAATATAAACAAGTAGGGAGCCAAATGAAAGTATGACTGGGAGGAGAGCAGTGATGGACAGTGAAATAGTAGTTAGGTCAATGGATATGGATTGGAGGTTCTGTTGAGGTTGAGAATTTGTTAGCACCGGGGGCCTGTGTAGAATTTGAATTGAGAGTAGGATAGAAGGCAAAATTATTGTAAGAAATGAATTCTAGAAATTCATAGACTAGGTATTGGAAGAATTATATATAGATAAATGTTGACATTTATCTATATATAAGCATTTATCTATTAAGCATATTCGTTAATTAAAAAATAAATGAAAACAATACAGTTTGTAATTATATAGTAAAGATCTTAAAAAGCAAATGGATTCTTGTGACTTTGGGTAAGATTTTTGAAGCCAGTTTCTTTAATTGAAAAGTACTGAATCTAAAGAAATCTAAGAAGAAGAGATATGCTCTGTGTTAAATGACTCAAGACTCTGTTAATTAAGCATGTGTAAACGGTTGTTTTTTGAAAATGTAAGAACGGTTTTAAAAAATGCTAGAGGAAAGTATTTTTACATATTCTTAAATACAACTAAATGAATAAATTTAATATTATAAGTAGGTCTCTTAGTCTCATCTCCATCTCCAACATTTATAAATGCTAGTTGGCCAAAATACATTATTTTTAAAATCTTTTCACTGGAAGAATGGAGGATACATTTTACTTGGTCATATGTGTTGTTCTTGGTACAGTAAACTCTGCTATAATGTGATAGATTGGTTTCTAGAAAGTACTCCATTATGCAGGGGACCAGGTTTGCTGGTCCGATAGAGCCTGGTGGAACTGCTGAGACTATGGCCCCTAGCTGCCCTTCAGGTCTGGAATTGAACCCACACCTGTGGTTTCCAGCCAAACAAAATGCATGCATATGAGTTGAACATTTACCTGAGGTAGATACACTCCTTGGAGAGAACTATCATGGGAGAAAGAAGGGATGTTTATGCACAGGGAGACAGCTCAGGGGGCAGGAGTGCATGGAGGGATGGACACTGGGAAGAGATAACTATGGGGAGGAAGTGGGAGGGGAGCTGTTGCGTTGTGGTAAATTGTGGTCAATGTCATGAGACAAAGTGTATGTGAACTGCTGTATGGAAAGTGAATTTGCTCTGCAAATCTTCACCCAAATCACGATAAAATAAAAATTTTTAAAAAAGTACCCCATTATGCAAAATCATGCTTTGAAAACCACAGGGCTTATGGAAAAATGGGGGCACAACACTCAAAAGCTTCATCAGTGACAATTAAACAGAAAAGAACCTAATAAAAATGGCAGCCTAGTGTTATGTGATTAAGAAATACATAAATACATTAAATTTGGCCCTTTACTTTGAAAAAGAACTGACGTTTTCTTGTGGTATTGGGCATCAGAAGGGTTGCAGTATGTGACTTTTTGTGAAGTGGTTGAAGGAGGGTTGGCAGAAATTGGGGAAAGTTGTAATACCAGATATAGATGAATGTGACTTGTACCACATGCAATAACCTGAGGGATCTGATAGATGTTTGAGGTGTTTGCAGGTGTGTTGTATTTCTGCATGTCTCCATTCAACTGCATTCACTTTTCTTAGTGTTTCTCATGGATGAAATTACATGTAGTCAAATGGAAAATTATTGTTATGTTCAAATTATTCTTTAATGGATCAACATTAGAACAAATATGCATTTTCAAACAAGTGTTATAGCAGAACTCAGTGTATATAATATTTTATATTGGTTTGCAGCCTCCATCTAATTATTATTAATTTATTTTGGAATTTTCTTTATTTGTATTGTGATTTGGGTGAAAGTTTACAGAGCAAATTGATTTTCCATACAATGGTTCATATATATTTTGTTTCAAGACACTGATTGCAAACCTCACAATGTAATTGCTCTCTTCCCACTTCCTCCCTGTGGTTACCTTTTCCCTGTGTCCTTCTTTCCAATGCATTCCTGCCCTCTGAACTATCTCTCTGCACAAATGCTGCCCTTCTAAACTCCCATGATTGATTGTTCTAAGGAATGTACCTACCTTGGTATATATATTCCATGGAGTGAGTTCAATTCCAGGCCTGAAAGATGATTAGGGGCCAAAGTCTCGGGGATTTCACCAGTTTCTGTCAGACCATTAAGCCTGAATTTTTTATGATTTTATGTTTTGTTCCACATTTTTATCCCACTCTATCCAGATCTCCTATTTTGATCCCTTTCTGAGTGGTTGACAGTGGTCGCCAGACACCATTTAGTTCTTCTGGGCTTAGAGCCATGTAGGCTGAGGTTTGCATGGTCGCCTAGTCACTTAGACTAATTGTTTCCATGTGTCTTTGGTTTTCTTTATTCTTCTTTGCTCTAGATGAGAAGAGACCAGTTGTTATATCTTAGATGGCCACTCATGAGCTTTTGAGACTCTAGTCACTGCTCACCAAAGTAGCTATGTAGAACAATGTTTTTGTGTAGTAGGTAATGCCGGTTGAGCTTGATGTCCCCCATGGCCATGAACTCCAGCCCATGGCCCAGTGACTAACTCCATCTTTTAAGTTTTACATGTTTTAATATTATAAGGATTCTGAATTAAGCTCTTTATGCTGAAGTTTTGAAATAAGACTGCCTAATATTTGGGTGTTGTAAATAGTTAATATGCTCAGCTGCTAGTAGAAAGGTTGGAGGTTCAAGTTGACCCAGAGGTGCTTTGGAAGAAACACCTGGTGATGTACTTCCAAGGAAGCAGCACTGTGGAGCACAGTTCTCTTCAGGACACACACAGGGTTGCTGTGAGTCAGAGTTGACTTGCAGGCACCTGGTTGTCATATTGACTAGGAGTCCCTGGGTGGTGTAAATGGTTAGTACATTTGGCTGCTGACTGATAGGTTGGAGGTTCCAGTCCACCCAGAAGCAACCCAGAAGAAAGACTTGGCTACTTCTGGGGGTGGGGGTGGGGGGAATCAGCAGTTGAAAATCCTATGTAGCACAGTTCTACTTTGACACACATGGAGCCTCCATGAGTTAGAATCAACTTGATGGCAACTGGTTTTCTGGTTATATTTGACTGCTACAAAGCACGTGAAGTATCTTGGTAAATTTTAAGTTTTTCCAGGATAATAGATAAGTGAAGGAGCCCTGCCAGTGCAGTGGTTAAGAGCTTGGCTGCTAACTGAAAGGTCAACAGTTGGAACTCACCAGCTGTTCCGTGGGAGAAAGTTGTGAAAATCTGCTTCCATAAAAATTTACAGCCCTCGAAACCCTATGGGGCAGTTCTATTCCGTTCTGTAGGGTTGCTATGAGTGGGAATCGACTCTATGGCAGTGGGTAATGGATAAGTGATTTGAGGGCGGTACCAGGTTTTTTGTGTGAGACTGGTGGTTCTTCACTATGATACACTGAAAAGCATCAATTCTTCTGTTTCAAGCAAGCACATTGTTTTCAGTGACCTCCCTGTTTCTGGTATTGCTATCAGGATACCTTTAAGCCTTAACCTGAATGAGGACCAAAGAAAGCATATGGGTGGTTATCTTTTTGGGATCTTTCCCACTTGTTGCTTCTATCTTGAGTGGCTCTTACATTCCAGAGCTTAGCAGTAATTGGTTTCCAGATTCTTTCACCTTTCTCTCACTCTTTCAGTCTTTAGGGCCAATAACAGAGTTAATAAAATGTTTCTCCTTGTTTCCTGTCTTCCACCAGTTTTTTGGTTACCATGCCTTGAGCCAAAAAGTGGGCATTCCCTCACAGCATTACCATCTCCCTCCTGTCTTTATACCATAAAGGCATTCGTTTATGTTTCTGCAGTACTCTGTGCTAGTATCTCTGTTAAGAACATACATCAGATTGTTTTTAAAATTTTGCAGAATTGGCCTGTCTTTCTCAATATACTGTGTATTTCTCAGGGACATGGACCATATTTTTAACATTTTTACGTTTGTGCTACATAGCACACTTTTTGGTAGTGGTGTTTGGGTGAATGAGTGAACAAATTGAGCTTGAAGAGCACTGTGCATATGATCCTATTAGGGACATTATCCTCTCTTTTGAATAAGTTATATAATCTCTAGGTATCTTGGTTACTTGAACTTTATTAATATGACTCATAATGCTATACATTTAAGCTTTTTAGCAATATAATATTAAAATTTTCTTATGTGAACTGGTTTGCATACCATCCGAGTTTTTTTTTTTTTTTTTTTGACTGCATATAGGTTAAAAAACAAACCTGGTTTACTTACAGTCTAGGATTTAGGATTTTTTCAAACGGTACCCGTTGAGTTGATATCGACTCATAGCAACCGTATAGAACAGAGTAGAACTGCTCCATAGGGTTTCCAAGACTGTAAATCTTTATAAAAGCAGACTGCTATAACTTTTTCCTACAGGGCAGCTGATGGGTTTGAACTCCTAAACTTTCATTCACAGCAGAGTGCTTTAACCACTGTGCCACCAGACACAGTACCAAAAAACTAAACCCACTGCCCTTGAGTTGATTCTGACTTATAGCGACTCTTTAGGACAGAACAGAACTGCCCCAAAAGGGTTTCCAAAGCAGTAAATCTTTATGGAAGCAGACTGCTTCATCTTTCTCCCAGGGAGTGGCTGGTGAGTTCGAACCACTGACCTATTGATTTGCAGCCAAGTGCTTTAACTGCTATACTTCCAGGGTTCCTTTTTGACACAATAAGGTAATAAAATTCTATATTTTATTGCTATTAATTTAAAACAATTATTTTTGACATTTTAAAATATTTGTATGTTGATAAAGTGGAACCAACTCAAAAAGAGGGGAAATATAGTTCTTCTAAGATAGTAAGGGGAAGTGTTATAATTCAATTCTTGATTATTATTGCAACTCTTAAATATTTCTTTGAATTGTTTTTAAGACTTTTTAAACAATCTTTTTCTTTATAGGACCTTTTTATCATTAGACATGAATTGGCCATAATGAGACTAGCTGCCTTTATGGGTATTACTATGTTAGTTGGAATAACTGGACTCTTTTATACTCAACTAATTGGCATCATCACAGTAAGTATATCTTTCAGTGTAAACGAATATATTTATGGACATAGTTCCTAATTATAAACAATTCTGAAGAGTTACAGAAGGTTTAGAAATAGGAGAAAATTACCCATTATCATTTGTATGTTTCCATTTCCTTATGCCTATGTGCTTTTGAAGCAGTTATAATCCACATACAGAATATACATACACTTTTGCATCTTGCTCTTAAAAATTAACCTAAAGTGTTTTTATATGACTGCAGATTTCATGTATATAGCTTTTAATATATTTTAATTAACTGTATTCTAGTTAATTGACATGTAGTGAGCAATCATTTTTTTTCCTATGTTACAGAAAACACAGTTTTCGACTTCTCTTTCTCCTCTTTAAGCTATTTATTTAGGGTAAATTCCCAAAAGCGGAGTTGCTGGAAGAGCCATTTTATAGTAATTAAGTTTTATGTTTTTGCTTGTACTTATTGGTGTGAAAACTAACTTAAGTGATTGCCATTGATCATTAGATGTCAGAAAGACTGACTACCAGGTACTCATTTTATGGTCTTTAATATGGAAAAGACATGAAATAATAGCATTATTTTTTACATCACAAATGTACTTACAAAGAGTATTGTCTTTTTTATTATTACCTGTATAGGAATGTCTAAGTGATTTTCTCCCATCACCTAATTTGGGCAGTTGCATCAAACACAAGGAAGTATGGTATTAGGTACTAGTATCTCAAGTACATCCATTCCGTGAGGTGGTTAGTCAGCTTGAGGGTTCAGGCATCGAAGTAATGAGAAATAAGATTGAAATATACATTGTAGTTGCAGTCTTTCTTCCTAATTAGCCAACTGAGGTTCCTTTACCACAACCAAAAAGGTGAAAAAAAAATCATATTGAATAAGAAAAAGTTTGATAATACCCTGCATCACAAAAGATGAAGGACAAACATGCTTTCTCATACATTGTTGGTGGGAGTGTAAATTGCTATAACCTTTTTTCAGGGCAGTTTTTCAATGTCTGTCAAAATTTTAAATTCATAGTTCTTTTAACCAACCTCTAATTTTTCCAGGCTATTTATTACCATGTGTGTAAGCATGTATGTTAAAAAGGTGTCCATTTGACAGCAACAGTAAATTACTATTATATGTTTATGAAAACTTAAATGTTTACCAGATATATTCAGTGAAAAAAATATAAGAAAAAAATGCATCAAAGTTTACTATCCACAAGGGGGCACAGTTACAAATAGAGTTCTTTGAATACTACCTACCCCCTGCCGTTGAGTCGGATCCGACTCATAGCCACCCCTCCTTGGTTTCCGAGGCAGTATCACTACGGAAGTAGATTGCCCAGCCTTCCTTCCAAGGAGTGGCTGGTGGATTTGAACTGCCAGCCTTCTGGTTAGCAGTCAAGTGCCTTAGGCACTACATTACCAGAGCCCTAGGATACTATTATCTGTCACCTGTATCAAGTGTGTTCAAATCAGCCTGTACATGACCTGAAACCATCCCTCCTCTCTATGTCCTTG